ACAGTGGCTGTACTTCCAATTCAGGTAGGAGGATCCCATCTCTCAGAGTGCAACATTATTTAGTGAAGGAACACCCAACTCTCCCCAAAGTAGTCTGAATCCCTTTTCCAGCACCAATTTAATATCTCCCTCTGAATAGCTCTGAAACAAATTTTCAGAGCATCTTCCCAGCGTTCTGGTACCATCCATAGCATCTCAAACATCATCTTGAGGAAATATCTCAACAACTTCTTCCAGTTGTTCAATGAAACCTGTGTATGTCTTACTGGGCAAGAAATTGATTAAAGTTTAAACTATCATATAGGGATATCCAAATACTTGTTTGATGAGCAACCTTGAAGGAAGTATTGGAATCCATTTTGCTCCCTTATCTTGTCACTGGAGTGGATCAAGAAGAATAGAAGGGTTGCTCCCAGTGAGCAGAATATTTTCCATTAGAATAAGGAATTTCCTAATATTTTCTGGAATTGTACATTAACAAGTGTTTTTGTGCTACAGATCCCTGTGTCCTTTCAAGATGTAACTGTGTTTTTCTCTGAGGAGGAGTGGGCCTTGCTGGATTTTGATCAAAAATCCCTGTACAGAGAGGTTATGCTGGAAAATGCTAAGAATGTGGAATCCTTGGGTAATTCCTTTGCTCTCGGTTCAGATAAATGAAGAAGTATATTCTGATGAGAGATAAGCAGTTTATTAATTAATTGGGGGAGGGATTTGTTAAGAATGTGGATTTCATGGGTAAGGGATCCATTTTGCTCTGGATTAAATGCGGAGAAGGTATGTTTTTACCAGTTTCTCAGAGATTAAGGGCTACTTTTCCTAGAGAGAATGGAAATGTCCATATTTGAGTCATGTCCAGAGTCACATATGTGATAGAGACAACTATATATATCAAAATAAGCAGTCGCGGTGTTGTAATGGTTAGAATGCAATATTACAGACTAATTCTGCTGCCAACTGCCAGCAGTTCAGCAATTCATATCTCACAGGCTCAAGGTTGAGTCAGCCTTCCACCCTTCCAAGGTCGGTAAAATGAGGACCTCAATTGTTGGGGACAATAGGTTGACTCTGTAAACCGCTTAGAGAGAGCTGCGAGTTTGACAACCTTGCTCTATGGATTGTAAGAGTGGTACATATGCTCAGTCCAAACTAGTGTGATATTTGGCTGTACATTCAAACAGTATTGAGCAGCAGTTTCATTTCAAATGATGTTTTTGCACACAGTCCAGAGGTGGGTTGTTCCCCGTTCAGCCCGGTTCGATCAAACCGGTAGTGATCATTCAGCCTGGGTTGCAGAACCAGCAGCAACCCAGACTGGCCACACCCCCGAACCGGTTCCCCGGTGTCTTCTGCCATTGCCAGCATGTTTCTGCACATATGCAGAACAATTAACAGTCAACTGCGCATGTGTGAGCAATGTGCAGTGCGCGTGCAGTGAACCAATACCACTGCGCGTGCAGTGAAGCCACCCCTGACACAGTTATAGATTGTAGTTAAGATCTTCTGGTGATTCATCTCAAACATGCTAAATCCCAGCATTTAAGTACAGTTTACTTGTAGCAACCGCACCTCCATTTTTTCTTGATTTAATTTCCACTTGTCTTCTTCCACATTTGAAATTGAATGTTAATCATATTCCACTCCAGAACTCTAGATGCTACTCCCCAAATTGACCTCAAATTACTTTCCCTAATGCATAAAAATAATGGAGCTCTATGGGACCTCATACCTTAGGTGTCTCCTAGCAGTCCAGCATTCTGGAGATAACAGAAGGATCAGAGATGCAGTAAACAAAGCCCCACCACCATGTAGCTTAGAGAGAAAAACCTTGGTAGAGTAGTGTTAAAAGAAAAAAGGAGGCTAATAAAAAAGGAGGCTAATAAGATGTGATGGCACTTCATTTTACATCTTAAACATCTCATGTTTAATTTTCTTCTCTTTTTTTCCTTCCAAACAGATGATAGGGAAGAGCCTAAAGATTATAACAAACCGGGTGTGAATTCACTGGAAAGGACAGAGTCTACAAAAAGGATATTTCGAAATCGGAGGAAACCAACTATAACTGAAGAAAACTGGTTGAATAATAGGAAGGAAAATTTGTCTACTGTTCAGCATAGAGAAAATATCCTACCTCATAAAGCAAAAAGAAGCTGTTTAAAGGGTGGGAAAACAGTCAGCAAAAAATCAGTCATCTCTGAATGTCGCAGAACCCACTCTAAAGAGAAGCAGGTTGAATGCGAGGAACATGGAAAAAAAGATTTGAATCTATGTCTTCCTTTATATCAAAGTGTTGAGAAACCAAAATCACATAAATATTCAGACAGTGGGAAAAGCTTTAGTGATAGCAGTACTTTTAACCTCCATAAAACAACTCATAGAATGAAGAAGTCCTATAA